TGGTGCCGAGACCAAAACTTTGAGTAGGATCTATGGTGGATTAATTATGTGGGTTATGTAGTTTAGATCATTTGATTGAAGGAAGTTACTGTGCATGTACTTGAGGATTAAGTGACATGTAAACCCCTTGCTTATTGGAGATGATTATTGCTTTAATTTTGAAATTGTTTGGAATGAATGGACTTCAATTATATTAGATTTTATCTCTAAGCTACAAAGTAATTAGAGAGTAATCTTCCCAGTACTTGAGGGACATTGATTTATAGTCTTTATTCCAATGTACATGTAATTTTAGGATTGGATAATGACAATTGGGTGAACTCTTTGTTATTTCCATCAGGAGGAAGTCCAGAGTGTGAATTTAATTTTCTTGGCAATTAATCAATTCGGAAGGATGAATAGATAAACTGTTTTTCCAGACATTTCCAATTTCATCACTTTAGGTTCAAACAGTGCCATTTCAATACATTCAGATTATACATGTATAATTCCTGCCATTCACCTAGAAGGAACATTTAACTTAAGTTGTGTTTCTTTTTCTTTATATTCCTCATATTTGCCGTTGCCTCCGCTGTTGGCCTGTTTACTGCTGATATTTAAATAGCAATAACACCAGCAGAGATCCGAGCCCAGGGTGTTCTGGTGTGTCTGTTCATGTGCACCCCCACCAGATAGCGCCCCTCCCACATAGACTTGGATCAAGCACAGGAAAAAGAAAAATAATATTTTTCACAGAACACAATCTATAAAATGAACGTGCTAAGTTCATTTCAAGGAATTTCAAAGAATTTCTACTCACTTTGCTCTGCATTATAATCATTTGTAAACTTGGATCAATCACTGGAATATGTAAATAAATTTATTCACAGAACAAAATCTATGTCAAGTCTCTGAAAAAAATTTTCACTCACGTTGATGATCATCATTAATTATATGCGAAAAAAAGTCACATGGGACCAATCCCTGCGTTGTGGTTGGTCAAACTTAAACTGTCTGTATTTCGTAAACATAGGGCGTTGGCTGACGGTGAAAAAGCTACAGTCATTCACACTCAGTGGATAGCTCTGACTAAACAGCTCAAGATTCTTGACTGCCAGGAAAATTGAAGTTATCCGATCGCTTTGGTAAATAGGTAAGTCAGAACGAGACATCTATAGTTCAATGGAGCTGGATGTGAATGTCGATTTCCAGAGTGTCTGAGTCAGATTGGGTGTATGAATGTGTACCAGTAAACATGTCTGTTATAAAACGTGATCGTCTGTGAGTTGGGCACGAGTACCACGCTTGCCTTGTGGAACAGTGATATCTGAACTTGAGAACCCAATTCATTCGTTGGACTTAAATGATAGTCGAATACTTGTCACAAATATGAAAAAAGAAGAAAGTACAATGCTTCCAACGCAATGATTTCAGGACAATTCCTTGAATTTCCATAACACAGCCGTGTAGTGCAATGATTCATGCACTGCTTGAATACATAGAGCAGGAGGCAAAATTCGTGTCAAAGAAACTTCGAGAGAAAAAGTCTCGATCAACCCAGCCCAGCCTTTCTCACTGGACTGCCATGTGCATGTGAGCCACTGTTAGTCGATCTCCTGTTCTATTTAATTCATTCTGACACTTGAAAGATTTCAATCAGTCATTTTGGGGAGAGTGGTCGCTAGTATTCACAGTATAACCAGACAGTTTCAACTGGAAGTTGATGCTTTTCCCCAAAAGGCCTAATGTTTATTACGAGTCATTTACTCAGTCGATGAATCCATACTGCCTAAAAGTTCCGAATTTCACACAACTGTGTAGCCGAAAACAAACGGCCGTCGGCATCTATCTTTCAGACTTTGAAAGCTCTCTACCATTTTTTTTCCTCGGATCACTTTCAAAAATGAATCTGAACAGTGCGGAGGGAATTGTCAGTAATTAAAATGGTTTACAATCAGCCTGTTAATGGGGACATTTGATTTCAAAGCAATTCGATTTACAATATAAAGGTGTCTTCTGTTTATTACAAAAGGTTCACAGAATGATTCATTTCAATAAAGTTCACGACATAGGCCTACCACTCAAAATCAACTTTCAGGGGGAATAGCACACGACTGAATTAACCTCGCGTGTTTTTGTTGGCAGAAGTGAATAAACATTGCTAACCCGATCGCACGTTTGGGTTGATGCCTCAGAGAAAATTTTGATCAATGTGAAATTTGTTTCTTGTATCCTTATCTTATTCATGCGCTATGCAGTCGATGAACCTGTTCTTCATAGTCACAATCTCTTTCCACATAGGCCCTTAGGATCAGTCATCATCCACTATTTCTCATTTCAGGTAGCAGGAAGAGCTCAATGGAATTCGTGGAAATATCTACAGTTGTGAACCAGCAATATTCCTACGCTGGGAGTGGAGACACTCTGAAAAATATACCTGCGCTCTTGTCGCTCTTTCAGAACCACATGCGTGAGCCTAACGTAGAATGCTTGGTGAAGATAATCGAAAATATTGGCAAGTTAGAGTTCAAACCTCAGGAGAGCGAACAGCATCATCTCATGCGGGATTTCGAGCTCAAACGCCTGCTGATCTTTCACGAGATATCAAAGCTTGGTTTCCAGATGATTGCGGCCACCAGTGCTTTCGCCCCAGACGGGAAACAGGAACTGCGGTGGACTTTCGCCCTGAAGGTCCTTTAGGAAAATAATGCAAAGAAATCCCTGAATGTGGTAATTTCGGTTGAAAGCGATACTACAGTTGTGTAGTTTATAGCCTGTTAAATTGGATGCACCTCTTCAAAATGTGTTTAACAACCTTCTATCAGCCTGATTTATATCTTGTTATAACCACCTAGTAATTTTCACGCGTTATTATGTCGTACTTATAAATCTGGGTGTCAAACACTCCGCCATCTATCACTTTGCCCACGCGCCACTTCGCCCCACGCAATATTTCGCGTAGTAATACTGCTCGCCCTGATTCCACAGGCGGGTAGGCCTAGCTGTGATTAACTTTTTAAAAAAAAATCGGCATCTTTTCATCGGGTTTAGTGCGTGGGTGTTTTTTCGGATAGAATAATCGTTCCAATAATAGCACGTAAAATGGTTTCTGTTAGTGCTCCAAAGTTTGACAGTAGCACAGACTGCGATCTCATACGGAAATAAAATACGGAAAATACCTAAATGCACAGATGCTACTCAAACCCAGTGATATATTACAGATTTTCTTCCAGGCTGTCAAAACTGGGAACGTAATTTGTGTTGCCAACAATATGGGCCTTGGTCAAGGGTATATTTTTAAATGAATCTCTTGGTTTCGGCAAAGCGTTGTTGTCAATAACATAAAACAAATACTTCGTGCTATTTGACAGTGCCCGTTTTTCATCAGTTAATCGACATTCAAACTGAGGATGTGGATATGTTCATGTAACACTATTAGGGTTATTCAATAGGATAAGGAGTACATGTCTTATTATGATGATTTCTGATGAGATTATCAATCTAAAATTAAACTTGCAATTTGTTGTCTTCTTGGGTTTTTGTTTGTTTGTTTTTTTTTTTTAGAAAGGAAGATCTAGGAATAGTTATAAAGACGCTATGTCCTTTGTATTTTTGGCAAGAAAAGGGGAATGACCTTTTGCCTTGTCTCATTTTTTCTACATTAAGTCGTCAATTCTTAACACTCCATTAAAATTCAACCTCCGGTGTGGCAAACATCAAAAGTTCAGTTCACCATCTCGCATGATGTGTTCAGTTTTTAGTTTGCGATTAGTAACTTTATAGGAAATAAGATAATCGAACGTATATAACAGTTGGTACGCTCGCTTTCAGAAAATGATTTCTACTTTTTGCAAAGGCATTTCAGGGCACTGTTTTCAGTCAAATGTCACATTGCCACGTAAAAAACAAATGAGATTTCATTTCAGTGTAACTAGTGCTAAGCACTGACGTGACAACTGGATTTTGATGTTGGCAGGTGCCAATTTTGAGCGTCTTTCTGTTTTGAGCGTGATAGGATAATCTGAATTTCGTGAAGTGGAAAATAGGTATAAAACATTGCAAAGCTCGTCGTAGCCTGAGCTTCACTTCATTATACGTGTACTGCTGCCTAGACCTTTTAGCATTGTTTGTCGAAGTATATGCGACATTCAACTTATTGTAAGCAGATTGATTGCGATCTGGGTTGGAGAAGTTGACTTGAAATAGTAATCTTATGTTAATAGGACAAATGTTGGAATGTGATTAAAGTATTATGCACACATATATGGAATAGCAAAGATAATGTGCATGTTGTACGCCTGTATAATGTGGCCCACCATTCCCAAACCAGGTCAAATATTAAGCTGTATAGGCATGATCAATGCCAATTCCACTACTTTCACTAACCAAAACTCTGAAAGCTCTCTGTCCATTTTTTTCCCCTTGGACCACTTTCAAGTGTAAATCTGAAAAGCTTGGAGGGAAATTCTCAGTAATTAAAATAGCCCTCTTCAGCCTGGTTATGGGGATATCTGGTTTCAAAGTAATTCGAATTTACAATGTAAATGTATCTTCTCTTTATTACAAAAAGTTCGTCATATTCAATTTACTTCCTGAATGGCCATTTGGATATCATCATTCACAGTCACTAAATGTTTTGATTTTGTTTATTTTATTTTCCGATTTGTTGGATTTAATTGGTAAAAGTAAGTAGAATTGGTTTATAAGTAGAAGTAGTTACATTGCTTATCTATGAGAAATGTGCGTTGTAAAGCGTTAATCAAACCAATAGGCTCCTGTTTCTTCATTACGCTACTTTGTTTTAGAAATTGTAAAAAAACAAATATTATTGCATTGAAATTGCATCCGTTTTCCACATCCGTCGACCTAAGCAATTTGGGCATAATACAAATGTTATTACAAAAATCACTTGGGATTCCTGGGAATCCTATTCAGAATATGTACCAAAATGATGAAACGAAGTTAACGGAGCATAAAACAATCGGTGCTGAGTACTTAGAATAGAGTGGTGGTTTCCGAGGAGTTTCTCTAAACAAATTCTGTTCGGATAGAAACGGCTTGTATTGTAAAGTTTGAGAATGGAAAATTTAGCAAATGAGCTTATAACGGAACAGTGGGCCTAAGCTTCAGTGATACTGTGTGATCCAGAATTTACTTTCATGTTGGAGCAAATTACATTGTGAAAAAAATTTCTCAATTCAATTTGGCCCAATTTAATCACTAAAGACAGAGAATAATGCTTTTGTAAGCCTTTGCTAATTGGTGTTCATATGTTTTTTTAGAAAAAAATAGTTGAGGTACACATATAAGCCTATTTAGCGCTATATTAGACTACCGCAGTAGCCAGGTATAGCCTCTCGTTGCAAATTTGTCGAAAATAAAGCTTTTGATGAAAATTCGCCAAGTGTGAAATTGTTCTGAGAGTGTAAGGATAGCTGGGAAACAGGTCGAGTCCGGAACTACTTGTCAGTAAATGGTGTGGCGTATGGATACATTGAAAATATCAACATTGAATTGAGGCTCTTTGTCACACTGATATCGCGCGGCTTAGCCGTAAACGTGATTGCAAACACCAGGGATTTCCCCCGACGTCATCGCGATTGGGTCTGAGGGTGATGTGATATATATCATTCGTGGTGAAAAGAAAATCAAACTACACGTACCACCATGTCCATAACAGAATAAACGATGCCTAAAAGGCAGGAAAAAAATTATGCCAGACGGAACCCCGTCATATAGAGTGTTTTGCTATGATTTTTTTGTTTTTGTTTTGCATCAGTTTGTGTGGTTGTCAATAATTGGTTTACATTTATGACCTCCTGGGAAGTAAAATATGCTAAGCATTTCCTTTTCCAATAACACGGTTTTCACTATCACTATATCTTAGTAGTCTCACACAGCAACATACCGTTGACAGTCAAATGGTATAGCGTATAATAATACAGGTATAGTTGATATGTAATATAGATGCACATGTTGCATGCATGTACCACGTTTCTTTAGTTGGCACAAACCAAGATCATGATGGCGTAAGGTACATAGCTGTTCACGTCGACAGCAAGCACGTTCGAGACTGATTACGTGGATACGGGGTCCGTAGGTCTGGCTGAAGTGGCAGCAAGTGAAGATCTGCTTAGGGTTTAATGCTGCAGTAAACCACATTTTATTTGTAATTATTATGAATATGCTACAGCGAAGAACACAAACAGACTTCATCGCGCTACAAAACCATTCGGATTCAATAAAGCCCTTTCTGTTGTGTTTAGTTCTACATCTTTCATTTTAAGCCGTTGTCAAGAATCAGGTCAATAATACCTGTATGCTGTCCTCGTCAAAGCTAGACTTCCAGTTAGCACACTTGTTAAAATCTTTCTACTGATGCTGTGGGTGTCAAAATTGGAATTGAACATGATCATTCAAAGCGAAGTTGAGTGAATATAAACAGAGACTGGTGAGGAAGTTTCTAGGATAATTGAGCTGAATTGAACAAAGAAAGACATTGGTCTTAAACTTGTTTGAAAAATGAAAAACAAAAATACAAATTTATGTGGCCAGTGTACTTCAAGGGACAAGGCACTGTGTTTTAGCAACTATCCAAAATGTATTACCAACAAAGTTATTGTTCAAATTTAATTGCATTCTATTCTCAGTACATGAAGAATTTACAGAAGAAAACTTCCAAGTGATCGGATCGCGGTCACAATGCACACATGTACCGTACATCATCACGTACATGTACATGTATACAATGTGTGCACTATTCACGCACAGGTGGTATATGTGCTGGATCGCTGGAATTCAAAAGGCGATGAATAATTCATGTTTGATCATGGAGGAAGGACATAGAAGGAGTTTGAACTGCCCGGGCTATAACATCTGGCCAATTTAGCGCTTTTGGGCATGTCCGGTATGTCCATAATAGCCAAGCGCAGCGAATGTATGCTACACGTACACCACCTGTTTCACAACCATAAGCCCCCTTTGCACCCATTTGGTCCTCGCCGCAATTTTTTCGCAGGTAATCTGCATCCTTAACCACGTCGTGTTCTGCAGTATTAAAGGAAGTTGAATATTCATGTCATCGTTGGCGCTTCGTATGACCTGACAACATCAAATTTAATGCTTGTGCAGTTGCTTTGATTAGGTGGTGTACCCGAAGTGTTCATGTTGTGACGAAGTCGCCTTCAAGAAGTGAGACTCAACATAAACAGATAAGAAGGAAAAAAACACTCCAAAAATTTGGGAGCAGAATCAATGCTTTTGAAAAGGAAAACAATATGTTTAATCTTCTGCAATCAAATCAATTGACACTGCTTTGACTAATAAATCACAGGTAAATCAATTTATACATTATAAAGTAAACAAATTATTGTGGCTTTCCATGGCTGTGCGAGAGGAGGTACCTCCACGGGTGGAATCCTGACCCAGACGGCCACCGGCCAAGTATCGGAAAATTCGCGACAGAGTTCTTGCCTTGATCTTGCTGGTGAATCGAACTTGGGACGACTCCGACATCCGGGCTTGAACTGTGTGGGACGGTGGAAAGGTGGCCGAGCCAGCAGGCGGGATACTGGCTAGGCGTCCAGTTGAGCGAGCGCAGCTACTGCTCGTGGTGCGTAAGGAAGGTGTGACATAAGTTGGCCGGGTTGACACGGAGACGGGTCAACGGCAGGAAACCTGAGGAGCTACGGCCAGCAACCAGCACGGCAGGAGAGCTTTGTGGATGAGCACTCATGGGGTCTAAAGGTGTGCTTGAAACCTCAGCATAACGGAAGAGCCGGTGCTACGTCCACGCCCTGGGTCAGAATCCGACGAAGACCGGAATTCTTGAGCTTTAAGTCCGACAGGACATTCTTGTGGCCAGTCCACCGTTCAGGAGTGTGGGGTGATTTTTGGCGCGATAAGTTGGTCAAGTCAAGCGACTGGCCTTAACTTGGTAATTTACATAATCTTTACGGACTATTACCATGACAAACTCCTAACAATGTGCAGTTATTGTCATTATCGAGCGCTTTTTTGGGAATAAATAGCGAAGTCGTTTATAAGATTTAGTTTTTATTTGAATAATGTTTTACGGAATTAACACAAAAAGGGTATTTTATGACATTTCTTGATCACTCCTTGTGATAATATAGCACATTTTGTTTTTAGCAAACTTAAAGCTCCTATGATGATGTTGCAGGGTGACCAGTCTCAGCCAAATTCATACAAAGCATTTAAAAACTACTGTTTTGGAGTGACAAAAGATGGGCATGTTGAAATGATGTGAAATTAATTTGCATTAGGCAAAGTATGCATATTATGTAGGATTAGAATTACAATATCTAAGTCGGGATAGTTTGTTACAAAAGGTTCACCCCATTTGCTGTTCTTCCTTTGTAACCACTAAGACAGAGTTTCCGTCGCTGTCCTTCAACTAAACATACATTTTTCCATTCTTTGGCTGCCGTAAGCAAAAGTTGAATGTTGAAAGAAGAATTAATACACAGCTTATCCATGTGAAATGTGTCCCTTGTAGCACATTAATTCAATTAAAAATGGCCTTTCTGGCTTCATTAAAGTTATAGATGAGCAGGAATGCAATGTCATTGCTAAACAAATCTTACTTTAAAGTATGTGTTTGGGTTTTCCAATAGAAGTAAGACCTTTGTGTGCGCATAATAAATTGACTGGCAAAAACGATTCGAAAAAATGTTGGAACTTCCTCGGAATGTCATTCACGGATTGCAAAACTGGTGTTTAAAATGGTGAATGTTTCCGCTATATCCTCCAGTCTTGCTTCAAGGGTGTAACACAGAGAGCTATTTATGAAAAAGATTTCTGCTAGAACATGTCCGGCACTCCAACCTTCGACATCAGTACAATATTGAAATCGACTGTTCAACGCTAGTGCAAGTCATGCACTGTATATACGATTTAAGTTCTCTAACGTTTGGAATCGAGTACATCTATACTGATAACTGTTCGTAGGCTTTCTTGGAAATTGTTTTTTAAGTAAGCAGTGAATTGATTTACTGCACCAATAGATTGATGAATTTGTGTAGCATCTTGTTCCACAATTTTAATAGCTCAAGTATATATCCATGAATGACAAGAAGTCTGAGTATGTTAAGGGAGCCCAGTGATTGCTGGGATCCGGATTTTCCCAGTGCCAGCAATGTTGGAACTACTTGACAAAGAATAATGTCGCGTATGGATAACTGGCAAATGACAAGGTTAAAAGTCTTTTATCACACTGGTACTGCAAGTACGTAACCGTGATTTCAAATACCAGGGATTCCCCGACGTCACCTGAGTAGGTGTCACCGTGACGCGGTAGCCATTGCTCGTTGTGAAGGTGTGTCCTGTACTAATTGACTGGATTAATTGCAACCTAAGGACATTAGGGCAAAAGTGCTACTGGGAATATTTATTGGTAATCTTGGTGATTCCGTGGGCACGCACTATTCAGACCCTATAGATTTAAGACACTAAGACACGGCCTTGCTTTCCAAAAAAATATGAGATTTCATTTCAGTGTAACCAGTACAGACAACTGGATTTTGCTCTTGGCACGTGCAGGTGTAATGTTTTCATTTTTGAGTGTCTGGTCTTTCTTTTTTGAATGTAAAAGGGTAATCTGAATTTCATGAAGTAGAAAATTGGTTTTTACAAAATTGCAAAGCTTTTCGTAGTCTGAGCTATACTACAATGTAGTTTTTAGCATTATTACTCGAAGTTCATGCAACATACAACTTAGAAAGCTTACAAGGGGATTTGGGAAAACACACTTGGTTGTAATCTGAGTCGGAGACGTTTACTTGAAATAGTGATCTTATGTTAACAGGACAAATGTTGGAACGATAGTTATGCACACATACATGCAATAGGCAAGATAATGTACATGTTATGAGCCTGTATAATATGCCCCACCATTCTCAAACCAGGTCAAAATTTGTAAGCTGCAGTCGAAAAATATGCTGCAATTGGGAATTTACTTGTGGGAATTTACTTGTAGTGGTGCACCCCTATGGGCTCTCATCCGCTACCTGGACTCCATGCTGGGTGCCATTTTTAGCGGTGAACTCGACCCGTCCAGGCGTGACGGAAATGGGGCCTTTGTCATCGACGGGGACGGGCCAGTCTTTCGACACGTCCCGAACTTCCTACGGCGAGGCAGGCTGATTCTTCCAGAGGACTTCCAGAGCGACTGGGACCTGCTGGAATCTGAAGCAGACTTCTACCAAATTCAAGATCTGACAGCCGCGGTGTCGTCGCTCCAGAAGGAGAGGGGACAGTCAAAAATGGAATTTATTGAATTCTCGGAAGAAATATATGCTGGAGTGCTAAAATATCGTGGCAGCTGGGAAACCTTGGAGCAGTTTCCCTATAGCTTGGGCACCGTTATGTTTAAAGATTA